CTTTAATAGTGAAAATATGACATTTTTTCATATTTCAAAATTCTTAGAAATGAATATTAGCAACAATGTAATCTGTAATTACGAAATCTGTCGTGCAACAGTAACAAAACACTGCAAAGCAAAATGTATTCCTCTTCCCAAAGTATTAAGATACAATCACACAAAAGCAGGTTAGGTTATGTTCAACAATTTAGATGATAATGATTTAGCTTGTATGCCATTTCCAGCCTGGTGCTTGGAATAATACAGCAGGCTTAACATACCAGGAATAACAAGAAATCAAATTCCAAACAAAATTAACAATCAAAAACACAATAATCTGTAGTAAATCCAAGTGAAATGTAAACAGTAAATCTTACAGGAACATGGAAAAATGAAAGACAAAAGTTTATGTAGGCATGTATAAGTAAATGGCAATGATGTTAAATACTGCATTGGAGTATAATAAGGCAGAGGCCTTAAAGTGATAGTATTCTATTTTCATATGCATCATTGGACTAACGTACCTTGTACCTTGTGTGGACTAGACCTGGAGCACTGACCAGTAGAACCCCATGAGTAAGACATTACCAATTAGCGGTGCAGCACCACAGGGATTATATTAAACTACACATTTATTAAAGTTGTCATGAGATCAAAAAACGGGAAAAAAATCTTTGCAGATTAAAGTAAATTCATTAATACACTGCTATACAACACATGCATTTTACAAGGCAACTTAATTAAAATGTGACCCATTCACAGCAGCTTGGAGATATTATGTTTACACAACTTTCCCAGAATGGCAAGCAAAATATGCAAATAAGCTCAGAGAACAAGTTCACTTTTTCCCATTTACATTGCATGCTTTTGAAGGCTTGATTCACACTGGCATGTGATGGTAGAACTAAGCACTTCAGGCTTATGAATGGGTTTGGATCTGAATGAATCAATGTCAGTTGCTGATGTCAAGAGAGTGCTACTTACCTTAAAGCAAAGAGTCAACTGTAAAGAAATGGGGGAGAATACTGTCTCAACTGTAAAGACATGGGGGAGAATACTGTCTCAACTGTAAAGAAATGGGGGAGAATACTGTCTCAACTGTAAAGACATGGGGGAGAATACTGTCTCAACTGTAAAGACATGGGGAGAATACTGTCTCAACTGTAAAGACATGGGGAGAATCTTGGGATAGGGTAGACTTCTTACTCCAACATAAAGGACTTTTTCAAGGTTGCAGCGTACAAAGACATTCGGGATTTTATTTTTTTTCACTCTCCAATCTGATGATTGCTCTTCAATCCCTAGTAAATGTATTCATTTATGTGCTGCTATACAAGTGTATATTTATATACCAATACTTTACGTTACCAACCTAACATTAGGTTTAATATATCTCGTGAGATTGTATTAACAAAGTAAAAATACATATTGTGTTTGAATTACACAAGGGAGGTTGTTATAAGTAACAACCCAAACACAGAGCTAACATGATATCCTGTGCAAAAACACGTGTAAAGATAATACAAAAAAAAAGGTTCATGTTGCTTAGCTAGTGTACCTACCTAAACCCTTCGCACAAGAGAGCTTCCTAATCGATTTTTTAATAGTGGACTGCATGTACTACAATGTGACATGCAAATGATAAAACGGGAAACAGAATTCATTGTTAACCTGGATATAAAGATGAACTAGAGTATCCTAAAGGGCCTGACTTCAAATCCAGTAAATTCATTTAGTGTGAATTTATGCATTGGATGAATTGAAAGCTGACCTTTAACTAGGCTTAATAAACCAATTTTAATCCCCAACCTCATTATAACTCTTGTTGATGGAAGGAAATCCGTATATAATCAAGGTTCCGTGAGCTACTAAAATGCCTTAACGGGACAGTGCGGGAACTTACAGCAGCCAAATTGTCACGATTTTTTTATAATAAGAGTTTTGTGGAGCAGATGTATTGGATTATCACATATCTTACTATTTATCAAGGCAAAACAGGTTTGCAGGGTGCAAATGGCCAGATCTTGAAATACAGTCTTCTACTGGTTTCCTTTAGACTTCTGCGCAAAATGAAATCGTAATTCGTCTGAATTGATTCAGTCGGGGAAAAAAATTGTGGAGTTTGTCCATGTAGCATTTCAGTTCGGACAAAATCCATCCATAGGATGAATCGTTGAAAAAACTATTTGGGTGAACCAAAATGGTGCAAAAATGTGCCTATTATTGTACTGTTATGCATAAATGACTGAAATATTTCGTAGCCCAGTAGGCAGCCAATATGAGGTATTTTTGCAATGCCAATTGTGAGTTGTCTTAATTACAGTATCATTTCTGTACTAGAAATATATGGAGCGAAAACGTAAATTAAAAACGTAAATTAATAAAAAAATTTTAAAAAAGGAGCATGAGCGGCAGGAGCCGTTTTAATTTGAAAAAAAAGGGAATTTTCTTTTTAAAAATGGAAGGAAAAAGGAAGCAGGTAAATGACCACACATTCTCCTGTTCCACCCTGAGAATAACAAAGATTTCTCACACATTGTGTCTACAGTGTGAGTATCCGACCTTTGCTGTGAAGTGAAGCACACTGCAAATCAAATAATCAAATCATCAAATCAATCAAATCAAATCAAATAATCTGTCTATTACAAGAAATAAATAATAATTAAAAAAAAGATCCGAAATCAGTGAAATAATTCTAAATCAGTGAATCAAGGTTGGTGTTAGCAGTAGTGGCTAGGCAGAGCAGTAACCTTACCACCTCAGCCACCTCACAGCAGAATATCTCCCATGCCCACACAGGGAAAGCAATGATACAACACACAAGCACTGTCTGCCTCCCTAGATAGCTGAAGTCAAAGTGTCTAGAAGAATATTGTATGACAATATATAGATTGCTTTTATTGCTCCCCCCGTTTTATCCCTATTGATCACCTCTCCCGTGATCTGGAATCAACATTTAAGTCGTTGACCCTTAACCATCAATAAACTCTTTTCCACCTATAATTTTTTTTCACCTCTTGATTGGACAGGAGTGATATAAGATAAAGCCCACTTCACTGGGCAGTTCAGTTTCTTCTCCGTTCTCCATCCTTCTCATTTTTCTGGCACCACATACAGAACTCCGAATCACAAAATAAACTAAACAGTTTATTTGGTGTTTTGCAGTTGCGTAATTTGGACCAATTGCTGAATGCACAAGTCTAGTTTCTATGGTGATTAGTCTTTATTTAGCACTTTGCACCGAAATAAGATCGTTTTTGACTTGTTGAATCTTCTCCTTAGTGTTTATATCTATATTAGTGTTTTATATATATATATATATATATATATATATACACATACACATATTAGAACGGTTTATATATGAATATGTGCTATTTTATTCTGATGTTCTTTTACTCTTCTTGTGCCAATCACTTAGTACGTTTGCGTGTCTTTAAATTCTAATTCCTTTTCAATCTGGCTTTCACCCAAAACACTTAACAGTTAGTGTCCTCTGAAAAGTATGCAATGATACCCAAAGTGACATTAAACAATGTAAACATATGGGAGCAGTTTCTTGAGTTTGTGAAAGTCTTTGATGTGACTTACTGTGATATTCTGTTAATTTAACTAAAAAAGCAGGGCAGACAACCATTAAAGGAACACTCCAGGCACCCAGACGACTTCTGCCCATTGAAGTGGTCTGGGTGCCATCTCCCACCACCCTTAACCCTGCAAGTGTAATTATTGTAGTTTTTAAAAAACTGCAATAATTACCTTGTACGGTTAAGTCCTCCTCTATTGGCTGTCTATCAGACAGCCACTAGAGGGACTTCTGTGTTCTTAGAACATAAAAAGGTTTTTAAACGACGCTGGACGTTCTCACGCTATGCATGAGGACCTCCAGCGTCGCCAGAATCCCCATAAGAAAGCATTGAATAATACTTTCCTACGGGGTGGTCTAATGCGCGCACGCAGCCATTGCTGCACATGCGCATTAGGTCTCCCCCGCTGGCTAACGACAGTGGGGGAGGAGCGTGGACGGAGCCTGACCCAGCACCGATATACATTGACGCTGGATTCAGGTAAGTCAGTTTTTTGGTTTTTTTTTGTTTTTTTTATATTTTTGTTGTAACATATCTGGATCATATATGCAGGTATCAACATGGTAAGTTACATTTTTAAGTGCAGGCATAGGTGGTAGGAAAGGTGTGTTACATATAAACTTAAAGACAAGATGCGCGTTATTACAGTATTCCTGCCTAGCTTCATATACTCTATGAACATTGCACATGATGTGGCCTCTGGAGTGTCGACTGGTTTACTTGCTTTAAATGTGAGGGAATGAGAGTCCCGAGAGAGCAGTGTGGGGGTAAGCACTGTGAGGTGGTTTTGTGATGTTAAGATAGATTTGTATAGGGATATACATCTCAACATCTCAGTGAACAACATAGTATAGGGATAAGTGGCCTTGGGGTTGACTCTAGCACTAGCTTTAAGTGTGGTGGGTGTACCTCACTGCTATCGTATAAGTTCAAGAGTCCAGTTTCGCATGTCCAGTGTTCGTGGGTAGCCTTGACATTGTGGCCTGCTGTCTGGGGTGAAACGGATGGATGTTGGCAACGTCCCATGATGAGTGGGTGGGTTCCTTGGAAGTGGACGTTTTATGTCCCGGTGCTTTTTCTAGTGCTGGCAGGTTCAGAGCCTTGAAGAAACGTTCCGCTTCTGAAGCATGTGAGAGATATAGTCTCTTTACGCCATGCTGCACCAACAGCTTTTGTCCCAGTCTCCAGTGGTATCTGACGCCATTGTCACGTAGTGGCTTTGTAACCAGTTGCATGGATTGTCTCCAGATAATCATGGGTCTGGAGATATCATTAAAAATGAGAGGTTTGCGCCTTCAAAGTGAACGGTAGGTGACTCACGGCTGCTTGATTGCAAGAGCAGTTTGCTCTGAAGTAATTGGAAACACATGAGCAACTCTCGTGGCGCTTCGGCCGGGGCTTTGGGAGACTTGGGGATCCTGTAGTAGTGATCTAGTTGCATGGCTTTTGCCCTTGATGGTGAGAGCATTGCGCTGAAGTGCCTTCTGAGGTAGTGTGGGACCTCTGTGTCTGTGATGTCTTCTGCCGCTTAGAGTCCTTCAGCACTGCTATTTTTTGTTCCATGTTTAAAGTAATCTGTTTCCGCCTGTCTATTTCAGCAGACATAGTGCCTTGCAGGTCTCTGGTAATGCGCCCCTCGTCCTCCAGGGACTGCAGTCTGGTTGTTATAGTCCCTAGGTCTTGGCGGACTAGCGCAATGTCGGCCGAGAAGTAGGCCTTTATTTCAGCCAGCATGTTCTTGATGTCTGCCTTGCTGGCCGGCACGTTCTCCGAGTGCTGAGTAAAGCGGGGGCCCCTGTTTACTGAGGCCGTCTCTGTGTTGGCCGTTCTCTTTTTGAGTATGCCATGGTCGGCGGAATCTGGAGAGTCCTCTGGTTCACCTTCCTCCCAGCCGGTATCTGAGTCACTTCTCGCCGGCGCCATTTTGGTGGGCCGCGGCGGCAGTGTGCCACGGAGCACGGCTCCAATATCTTTGGTGGAGGCTGCTGCTTCGTTTTTGCGGAGCTTGTTTTTTTTCCCCATCTCCTCAGGTGCGATTTGGGTAGTTTTGTGGGTGCTGTGGAGTTAGTTATTCTTAGCTTTAGTGGATTTCTCTCGGGAGCTCTCAGCATGTGCGTGCGATCAGGTCAGTGGCTAGCTCTGCCCCCCAGGTAAGTCAGTTTTAACCCCTTCAGCAACATGTGGAGTGCGAGGGAGAAGGGCACTGCAGGGTCCTGCAATACCAGGGAAATGGATATGTTTTCCTGGCACCGGAGAGTCCCTTTAACTTAAAAGGATTTTCTCTAACTTAGCTTGATTTGTGTCAGTTGTTATTCGTCACAACTGTGTGGAGACGGGTACTACAGAAGTTAGGAATTGTAAAAGTTAAAATGTAGGATATTGTATACACAATATGTGTATAGAGTGGTGCCCTCCAATAAAACCAGGCTAATCTCAACCGAATTGTGGATTTTAGGACAATTTAAAAGTTTAGCGATTTTTCTAGTTTGCTATGTTTGTCTATAGTTTATTTAGTTGTCAGTTCACCATAATCCACTGTTCAGTGAACAAACCCTTATTATTTCCCATTTATTTTCCAGTATATCTGTTATTGAGAACCTATACAATTGTTCTTCTATATTTCTCTTTATAGGAAATACAAGTTCTGTTTGAAAAAGTATCCAGCCATTGTTCATATAAGGAGAATAGTTTGTGCAACATCGATGTAACCTGGTAGCCACGGAGAGTGGACAATGATGACTTCACTGTACTAGTCAGTGGGGGTGCTAGACGCCGTTGAGTGACCATGTGTACTGTGTGGCCGTCGCATTCAAAATAACTGAGTGAGTAAAGCAACGAATCTGCGTGAAATTTTGCGGCAAGCTTTGAACATTCCTCCGCAGAAACTATTCGGATGATTTGTAAGGCTGTCAGGGAGAATGCAATGTGTGCAGCTCAAATAGGAGTGTGGCACAAATGCTTTGAAGATGGTAGAAAATCTGTTAAAAGACTGTTTGCCCTTGAGACTTCTGGCTTTTCCCAAAACTAAAATCACCTTTCGAAGGGAAGAGATTTCAGACCATTGATGAGATTCAGATAAACACCTGTGCCAGTAAGGTAGCTCCGTGAGCTAATATATAACCAGTATAATCTCTTTAACCCATGAAGGTTTTAGGTTCAAATCCCAGCAGGGTTGACTCAGCCCTTCATACCTCTGAGATAGATAAAATGAGTACCATTAAATTGGGTGAGATAGTAGCATCCCTGGATGTTGGGCAAAAGTAAAATCCCCAGGACATACTTGGTTAAGAAGGAATTTTTTTCCTAGTTTGTTGCAAAATTGGAAGTGCTTCGGATTGGGTTTTTTGCCTTCTTTTGGATCAACAGCAAAAACATTTGTGAGGAAGGCTGAACTTGATGGACGCAAGTCTCTTTTCAGCTATGTAACTATGTAACTATGATTATTATTATGTTATTTATATAGCGCCAACAAATTCTGCAGCACTTTACAGTGGGCGGACGAACAAACAAACATATAGTTTTAACCAGACAAGTTGGACACCCAGGAACAGAGGGGTTGGGGCTCAATGAACTTACATGCTAGAGGGTGTGGGGTAAGGTGAAACAAAAGGTAAGGATAGTATTAGACTAATGACAGTTGCAAGAGAGGAGTCAGTCGGAGCTATCTAACTATGTAACCAGAGTAATCTGAATGTACCTTTTCTGAACTTTCTAGTCATTTTTCCAAATTTTTTTCAAATATATTGTATTTGAAAGAGAACTGACAAAAGTGCAGATGGGGGCTACAAAGTGAAGAAGAAGAGTGGAATTTTTTAGTACTGGAAAAAAAAGTAGAAAACCTTGAATTAATTTATTTTAGATTTAAAAAGGCATCTCAAAGTGGATATGATAACATTATAGGAATATATAGTGCATGGGACCAGAACTGATCTAAGGAAAAATCTTCATTGCAATGTTGGTATCAGAAAAGATTACTTCCGATTTAGAGAAACAAATGGAAATCAGGATTTTCTATAATTTCCAGTTGAGATTCTTGAGATTTCCAGTTGAGTTAACGTAATGGATTTAAGACTTTTTTTCTACTCATCAGTCACAACATAAAAACTGATAACATTTCACTTCACGTGAACAGAGGAGCAGATTATCGAGTCAAAGATTGCCCAATTGCCCATTGTTTCAAATAGAATAGTTCTTTTGCAAGTCCTGTGAAGATCTATTTATCACTGTTCTAATTTGGCACACCAAACACCAAAACAATAAAAAGCAATGCTTAGCAGATAAACACCCAATGAAAATGTGCATATTTTTATTCATGCCTTTTCTCATTGAGATATATCTTGAAACATCTTGCAAAAGTTGCACATCTCTTGTCTGCAGCCTTTGCAGGCCCTCCCCTTCTTCCCCTTGCCCAGACTTTCTGTGGAACAATTGTACTTCTTGAGTTTATCTCCACTGAGCTAAACAACCAGGAAGTAACAAGGGCGGTAGTCTGATTGACAGCCAGATGGGAGTAACCAGGTTAATTTATAAAAGTGCCAATTTCTATTGAAATCTGAAGTGCTATGGGAGCCTGGAGTGTCCCTTTAAGCTGAAGCCTAAGAAAAGTGTCTTGGGAGAGGTTAGAGAATATATATAATGCACAAAACAATGGTATGAAATAGATAGCAAAGGATAAGCACAGAGAGGTTAGGAGAAAATCCCAGTGAAAGTCAAACAATGGTATCATAGGCGAGAGGGGAAAAAAAAGAGCAGATGCAGAGTGGAGAAGACAAATAAAGCAAAGAACAGGAAGGTATACAATAAAATAACAAATAAAAGAGTTACTTGCACACTATCCAAAATCGCTATGCACATTTAATTAACTGGAATATTTTACCTCCCATTATTTTAATGTAAATAGGGATTTGGGATAGTGTGCAAGTAACTCTTTTCTTTGGGTTTTATTGTATGTATTGGGGCTGATGTATACTATAGTCATGGCTGCGACCCAGGAGTAGTGGGAGTTTGAGTGAAAGGCTTAATTTTGTATGTTTGTATATAATAGAAAGAAACAGAATAAGAGAAACTGCGAAGATTTCAAGATTCTTTTGTTTCAGGTGTTGTACCGGAGGATTGGAGGAAGACAGATGTTGTTCCTATATTTAAAAAGGGTTCAAAATCCTTGCCTGGAAATTATAGACCTGTGAGCTTAACTTCTGTAACTGGGAAAATATCTGAAGGGCTATTAAGGGATAATATTCAGGAATTCATTGGGAAGAACTTTGTTATTAGAAATAATCAGCATGGTTTTATGAAACATAGGTCATGTCAAACTAACCTAATTGCATTCTACGAAGAAGTAAGTAGAAGTATAGATCAGGGTGTTGCAGTGGATGTGATCTACTTGGACTTTGCCAAGGCATTTGATACGGTTCCTCACAATAGGTTAGTCTTCAAACTAAAAGAAATTGGTCTAGATGAATATTCCTGTTCTTGGGTAGAACATTGGCTTAAGGACAGAGTACAACGAGTTGTAATTAATGGTAAATTTTCAGGCTGGACAAAAGTGGTAAGTGGTGTCCCTCAAGGTTCTGTTTTGGGACCACTTCTATTTAACATATTTATAAATGATCTTGAAATAGGCATTGAAAGCCATGTATTAGTGTTTGCAGATGACACAAAACTTTGTAAAGTAATAAAATGTGAGCAGGATATTGCTTTGCTGCAGAGAGATTTGGATAGATTGGGGGACTGGGCACTAAAATGGCAGATGAAATTTAACATAGAGAAATGCAAAGTTATGCACTTCGGGGTTAAGAATGCACAAGCAACTTACACACTAAATGGTAGTGAATTAGGGATAACCACACACGAGAAGGATTTGGGAGTTGTTATAGACAACAAATTAAGCAGCAATATGCAATGTCAATCTGCAGTTGCTAAGGCCAGTAAGATTTTGTCATGTATAAATAGGGGCATAAATTCTCGGGATGAAAATATAATTTTGCCTCTTTATAAATCGCTGGTAAGACCACACCTTGAATATGCTGTGCAATTTTGGGCGCCTGTTCTAAAGAAGGATATCATGGCACTGGAGAGGGTCCAGAGACGAGCTACAAAATTGATAAAAGGAATGGAGCATTTTAGTTATGAAGAAAGGTTAAAAAAATTAAATCTGTTTAGTTTGGAAAAACGGCGCCTGAGAGGGGATATGATAACTTTATACAAATATATTCGGGGCCAGTACAAACCTTTATCTGGAAATCTATTCATAAACAGGGTTATACATAGGACACGAGGTCACACATTTAGGCTGGAAGAAAGGAGATTTCATCTAAGGCAAAGAAAAGGTTTTTTTACAGTAAGAACAATAAGGATATGGAATTCTCTGCCTGAAGAGGTGGTTTTGTCAGAGTCCATACAGATGTTTAAACTGAAATTGAATAAATACTTACAAAAACATAACATACAGGGATATAATTTCTAATTAGTGGGGTAATAGCTGCTTGATCCAAGGAGACATCTGACTGCTATTTTGGGGTCAAGAAGGAATTTTTTCCTAGTTTGTGGCAAAATTGGAAGTGCTTCAGACCAGGTTTTTTGCCTTCTTTTGGATCAACAGCAACAACATTTGTGAGGAAGGCTGAACTTGATGGACGCAAGTCTCTTTTCAGCTATGTAACTATGTAACTATGTAACTATGAAAAGGATAAAATTATAAAAACAAATGGGATTTGAGTTAAAGCGGCATTGCCACCGCACAAAAAGTCCCCCGACGGTGACATCGCCGCTGGTGGTCAGGTAAAGGTGAAAGGGCGCGAGAGTACAACATTAAGGTCTGTGGGTCCGTGGGATCCTTTATAGACACAGCCAATTCCCTGCAGCTGTTCAGGGCCGTCTTTAACGCGGGGCAAACGGGGCAGCTGCCCCGGGCCCTGTCCCTGCTGGGGGGCCCGAGGTAACTACCCTGTTTGCCCTCTGCCCGCAAACTATGGGGGCCCATCGGGTGGCCCATGCACTTAGGGCCACCCGGTGGGCCTGTG